TTGATTCCTGGGGTGCTGTGCCAGCCCCGCCTCTGGGGCGTGTTGAGACTTCAATCGAGACTGTGATTGAGGGCATGGTAGTGTGCACCTGTAATCCCAACACTTGGGAGGCTGAAACAGGAGAATCACTGTGAGTCCGATCTACAGAGTGAGATCCTGTCCTAAATACAGAAAAAAACCAAAACCAAACAAAACAAAACAAAACTTTATTTATCTATTTATTTGGCACAGGGTCTTGCTACTCAGCTGAGACTTGTAGTGATCCTCCTGTCTCAGCCTCCCCAGTGCTGGGATTACAGGTGTGAGCCACCATGCCCGATCTAAGTGGCTGACATGGCGCATCCAGGATTCTGGGGGCCTGCACGGCATGCGGTATTGAGGATCAAATCTGGGTCCTGTGTTTGCCAGGCAGGCGCTTAGACCACTGAGCTATCTCCCTAGCCCTTTATTTGATATTTATATGTCTGTGTCTCACACCAAATCATGAGCTTTCCAAGGGCTGACTGAGACTATGCCCTGATTTTTCTCTTCTGAGCATGAGCTGCTCAATAAATATTTGTTACACTGGATTGATCATCATCAAATTTTGCTCCTATCAAATTGTTATCCTGTTTAATCAGTGATGTTTGTACTTCTTCCCTCCCTGCCTCCTTTTTCCTTCCTTTTTCATTGCTGGGGATGGTCCCAGGGCCACTGCATTGAGCTACATCCCTAGTTCTTTTTTTTGAGAACTGAGTCTTGCTAAGTAAGTGCTCACACTGGCCTTGAACTTATGGCAGTTGGTCTCCCAGAGTGTTGGAGTCACAGGTATGCACCACTACTGTTTTAGATATTGATTTGTTTGTTTTTGTGGTACTAGGGATTGAACTCAGGACCTTGCACTTGCCAGGCAAGTGCCTATTCTACTGAGCTATCTCCCTGGACCCTGTTATAGATATTGGAATACAGGATAAATAAGATATTGCAAAATATATAATATTAAAAGGTATTTTCTTTCTTTCTTTCTTTCTTTCTTTCTTTCTTTCTTTCTTTCTTTCTTTCTTTCTTTCCACTACTGTTTTAGATATTGATTTGTTTGTTTTTGTGGTACTGGGGATTGAACTCAGGCCCTTGCGCTCAAGGTCCTTATGCATGCCGGACAAATGCTCTCCCACTGAGTTATGCCCTAGTCCTCAGACCTTAAAGTCTTATGAGGGAAACTAAAAGCCATCACATGCTACATATATGATAAGGGAGACATAAGTAAATACTGTGGGGAGCAGAGAAGGGATGCTCAGCATAAAACCTTCTCCCCCAAGACTGTGGCAGAATAGGGACAACAAGGAGTGAGAGAGGGTCTCCGTTTACCTGCCTCCCACCAGCCAATTGTTTAATCTTTTAGACCCCATTTCTTGTGCTGGAGGCTCTTGAATAATGAGGACCTTTTATATATATGGCAGGCATTTCTGTAAAGAACAAAATAATACCTGTAGAGTGTATAAAAGAAACTCTATGTACTCTAGTGATAAACGTAAGTGTAGAGAATAGCAGTACTACTTACTAAACCGCGCCCTGCCGCCAACTTCCTCTTCCCACAGATGGTCTTGTCATCCCCACATCTCCCTGAATCAGAATCTCAAAATTACCTTTTTTTTTTTTTTTTACTTGTGGTACAGTACTATTTGTTTATCTGACATCAAAATCACCTTGGTACCTTCTGCACTCCTCCACCAGTAGCACAAGTCCTGCCCATGTGCTCCCCTCCTGGCACCATTGGCATCCTGGGCTCCTGTTCTCTGTCTTGTAGCCTCATGCTGTCCTTGTCACACCATCCAGCACCTGGGCTGTCGTGACAGAGCTTCCTGCTGCCTGTATATCAGTTTCTAAAATTCAGATGTCTCCTCCTACAAGATTGCTTTCTCTGTGTCTTTCCTCTGCACAAATGAATTCAGCTTTCCCCTAATACCTGGAGACCAAAGTCTAAAACCTTAGAGCTTGACATTTAAAGCTTTTGGTAATTTGACTTTATTATATTTACCCAAATTTATCTGGTCTCAGCTCAATCCTGTAATATTAACTGATCTGAGCTTTCTCCTGTCTCCTAAATAAACATGCATAAGCCCAAACACACATAACCTAATCTATCATTCATCGTGGCCTTTCCTAGACTAGGCGGGTAGGATGGGAAGGAGCAGACAAAGACAGACAAACAGGGTACAATGGCAGTGCACTGGGACAGATGCCACTTCCTCGCAGAGAACAGCCTCCTTCTCTAATCTATCCCTCAAGACTGAGCTCAGGGCATACCTCCTCCAAGAAGCCTTACCTGATTAATTCAGGACCCTCTGGACCCCAAAACCTGCATTCTTTGGACTTCCACAGAGCAGTGCTTCTCAAGCTTAACATAAATGGCTGTCCCCCACCCCAGATTCTGACTCCCTCAGGCTAGGGTAGCAGCAGAGTATTTATACATTTTACAGGCTCTGAGGAGAAGGATCTGAGACCATCACTCCACCTATCACTGCTAGAGATGACCTTGGATGAGTACTTACACTCTGCTTCTATTCTTAGATCTTTTATGGGCAGAAGACACATCTTCTGTCTCTCTGTGGATCGGCCACAAGGATAGAAAGTGCTCTCCAGATTTCACTTTTACTTGTTCACAGTGCTGGGTAGCCTTCTCAGAGGTTGCTGGGGAGAGGACCAAAGACCCACCATGGCATGCAGCCAGATGGGGAACCACAGTGCAATCCACTCAGCAGCTCTCCAGGGGATGCCTGGCAACTTCCAGCCTCTTCTCTGGCTTCCAGCAAGGAGGATGGAACTGACAGACAGTGAGTAGTTATTCTGCCAAGTGCTGGAGGACAAGCACGGTATCCTGGGGTCACAGCAGTACAGCAGCTGGCCCCTTAATTTCACGTGCATATAATGCAGAAATGCGAACACAGCACAGAAGAGGCAGAGTGGCTTACCAGGGAAGGAAAAAGTGAGGTAATACTTTCTGGAGGTCAAGTATGTGGCCAGTGTACTATTGCAGGTGCTTTCCCCTGCACGATCTTTTTTTTTTTTTTTTTTTTTTGGCGGAACCAGGGATTGAATTCAGGCCCCTGAGCTTGCTAGGGTCTACGATCTTTTAATCTTCACAATTTTCTTGCAACACAGACTTCATTTTATTCCTTTTAAAGGTAAGGCAAAAGCCTTGGAGAAGTTATATAATTTGCCCAAGGCTACACAGCTAGGAAACCGGAAAGGTAGAGCCTCAGGTGATCTGTCTGACTCTAAAGCCCCTGTGGGCTGGGCGTGGTGGAGCATGCCTGTAATTCCAGCACTCAGAAGGCTGAGGCAGGAAGATCAGTTCGAGGCCAGCCTGGGGTAAAGTGAGTTCAAGGCCAGGCTGAACAGCATAGAAACGCTATCTCAAAAAATAAAGAAAAAAAAAAAAAAGAAACCCTGATGGGTTCTGCAAAGCAGCTGTGCTGTGACAGGGCACAGGGTGTGTAGAGTTTGCACAGCACATCACTGGCCAAAATGGGAGTTGGTCTCAGGGTCCACATACCCCCAGCTCCCTGACGATACCTAGCGTCTTGTGGGCTTAGGCTTTCTTTCTTTCTTTCTTTTTTTTTTTTTTGGTGGAACTGGTGATTGAACTCAGGCCCTTGCGCTCACCAGAGAAGCACTTATTCCACTGAACCATCTCCCCAGCCCCAGGCTTAGGCTTTCTGGGCCTGGCCCTGCACACAGATCGGAAGCTATATGTGGGGAAGTTATGGTTCATAGGAAGGAAAAGGAGTCACCAGGGGACACCAGGACTTTGGATTCTGGGAGCAGGCCTGGGTCGCATGGCCCTAGGGAGGTTGGTTTCTGTCTGGTATTAGAAGGTGATTGTGGTTCTTCCAGACCTAGCTATCTCAGTTCAGGTGCCTGTCCCCTCTGTCACCCCAACACACTCCCACCTTTACACACTCTTCACAGGCAGGCTTTCCAGTCAGGGACATGAACGCAGATCTGGGGGAAGCTCCCAGAGATGTGCAGGATCAGATTTAAGGTGGCACACCAGCATATGCAGATCTACTGCACCCAGGCCTAGACCCGCCCACAGAGGCAGATGTACAGAGGTCAGCCAGACACCCCACAGGAGGGCTGCTCAAGCCCACACTCCCACTGACACCTGCAGGGTGTGGAGGGCACAGCCTCCTTCAGCTACTTTTGAGGTGCCTGGGTGATTGTCAAGAAGGATGGTGACAGTAGGGAGTGCTTTCTCCATCACTGCCTCACCCTCCTACCATGGGCGGAAACCCACCATCAGAAGGGTTCAGGCTCTTTTCGCATGGTTTGTCCTCTACCTAAACTTAGGTCCCTTTCCTTCTGGCCTGAGCTCAGAGGCGCAGGTGGAGGAGGGGCTGGAGTGCAGGGGAGGGTGGAGAGGAAGGAGTAATTGGGAAAAGGAAGGATGAAGTGGAGGCCCGGTCCTGTCAGGCTCCTGAGCTGCACGGAGGTCAGGAGGACTGCCACCGTGTGAGGCAGCCTGGGCGGGGGGAGGAGGGTGCTGATCCAACTGATGCCGGGATTCCTGGTCCTCAGGAAATGAAGATGGGGACCTCTACCTTCCTGGAACGCTGGCGGGGGTTGGGAGGGAGCTTGGGGAGACTCCAGCTTGGCCACCATCATAGGGGGCTGACACCTGCTTTGGTGCCCCTCGGACCTGTCTCTTCCTCAACTCAGGCGCCCAGACTGAAGTGCGTCTCCTTCTCCAATCCTCACTGAGGAGCGCGGCAGTGGGGGGAGCAAGGGAGGGCGATTCGCCCAGCGGGGCGGGGAGGCTAGCGAGGGGTAACGAGGAAGGAGGCGGGAAAGGGGAGTTTTAGGAATGACCTCAGCAACGTGACCCCGGATTATTAGTTTGAGTGGGGGTCCTTCCTGCTGTCCCACCTGCCCATTTTAGCGGGGGCAGCCTGCCGCATTCTCGCCCCGCCTCCCCTCTGCTGTGCAGGACTGGGCCAGCGTCCGCCCGCCCACCTTACCGTCTGCGGGGGGCTGCCCACGGTCATCTCCACATAGTAGCCCTGGCCCGACTTGCCCCTGAGGTTGTCCACCATCTCCACAAAGCTGCCCTTCCTGCTGGGCTCCTCGTCGGTCTCCCGGGGCAGCCGCAGCCCCAGGGGGGCCCCTGCCAGGCCGCTGCGCAGGGGCAGTCGGATGCCGTGCTGGGTGCAGTGGGCAGGCAGCACTCCCGAGCCCACCCACAGCAGGAGCCAGGGCAGGGCCGGGGCCATGGTGGGCCCGGGCCTTCTGGGCTGGCTCGGGCCCACGTCCGTCCCTGTCGCCTGTCCCAAAGTCTGGGTGGTGTGGCCTCTCTCACGAGAGGGGGCTTGGCGGCATCAGGAGTCCAGAGCCTCCAGGCCCCTCAGCCAGTCCTGGGGTCCAGACGGTGGAGAGCTGGCAGGAGAAATCCGCAGAGCACGAGAGGAGGGCAGAAGCTGCGATTCGGGGGCCGGCTACATCTGGACGGCGACGGGCAGCCTCGGCGGCGGGCTCGGGCCCTTCTGGGGGCTGGGAGGGGCGGGCATGGCAGGGTGGCGCCGGCTGCAGTCTTGACTCTCCTGGCGAGGCTGGGGGCGCGGGACGGGCAGGGGCTCTGGGCTCCTGCGGCTGCGCTGGCTGCTCAGGCCACCATAATCCAGCTCCCAGCTCCCAGTCCCTAGCTTCCAGCTTCCAGCTCCCAAGCAAGCAGGGGAGGCGGAAAGACCTGTGGTGGCGGCTGTCAAAGCCAAAGGGTTTTCGCTTTTCCCTGGGATCACTGGGAAGTGTAGTCTTCCCAAGGCAGCAGCCCAGCTTCCGGAGCTGGAGAGGGGTCTAGGATGCCCTCTACCGAGGCGGAGTCTACCCTGCAGAATCCTCCAGCCGGGGCTGAGCGGGAGGATCCCTTGGAGCAAGGTGAGGCTCACGGCTCACCTGCCAGTGCTTATCTCAGCCCACGGTATACCAGCCACTCTGCCAGGCACTGGGGCTACAGAGAGGAGTAAAGTAGGCACACACCCAGAGGGAGTCCATACAGGAGAATTAGAGGATTCTCGCCACAGTGGGGTTACGTGTGAATGATGTGGCATTGAGAAGGAGGGATTTGTGGGACATCTCTGGGAGATGTGAAGGCTCTATGTGGTTTTTAATCCCAGCTTAAAAATGAGTAATATTTCCAAAGATAGAGACTGGGGGAGCAAGATTAAAGCGATGGAAGGGTACTCTAGGCAGCTAAGTACACACGCAGGTCCAACAGGAGCACGTGCCGTCGCTGTTTTCACCGGCGTTGGCTGTCTAAGGGCCAGCCAGGTCTTCGCTGGCAACATCTTTGCCTTTGATGCTCTCTTGCCAGGAATCCTCAGGACCTCCGATTCCTGCACTGTCAAAATGAGGCTAAATGGCTGCTGAGAGCTCTGAAGTGTTATTCCAAGAAGCACCAGCATCTTAATTGATAAGAGCATGAAACAAAAAGCTGTAGACATCTAATTGCTTAATAGAGAAAAGTTGCATGATTATGTTATCATATTATTTATCAGACATGGAAAGCCCTTGACAAAATTTAGTAATCATTCTGATAAAAAAAAAAAAGAGTAAGGGGAAGGGGAGGTCATGTCACCATTGACACAGGCCTGTAATCTCTGCTATGCAAGTGGCTGACAAGGAGGACTATAAATTCTAGGCCAGCCCAGTCAATTTAGTGAGACCCTGTCTCAAAATAAAAGATCAAAATGACTGCAGATATAGCTCAGTGGTAAGAGCTCCCTTAGGTTCAATTCCTAGAACCACAAAGAAAACTAAACAAACACAGTCAACTAAGAGGAAATTTCTTAACTAGGATAACCAAAGTCTGGGCATGTGGCCTAATGGTGGAGCCAGCACTCAGCATGTGTAAGGCCCCAGATTAGATCCCCCATGCCAAAGGGGAGAGGGGAGAGGAGCTGGAGGGAGACAGCGAGAGAGGGAGGGGAGGGGGAGAGGGACTGGAAGAAATGAAAACCAAGAGATCCATGTATATATCAGAATTGTGAGGCTGGATGTGGTGGCACCCACCTGTAATCCCAGCTCTTGGGAGGCTGTAAATAGGCGGATCACTACAAGTCCGATCTGCATAGCGAGACCCTGTAGATCCAGTAGACCCTTACTAAAAAACAAACAAAAAGAAAAAGAATTGTGTATAGACATGCGCACAGATGGCATTCAGTACAGATGGCTCCAATACACAAAGAGCTTCTGCATATCAATAAAAACCCTCAAACAATGTGATAAGTGAACAGTGAATACAAAAGGCAATTCATAGAAGAAATTCAAATGTCCAACAAACATATGAAAAAGTTCAACTCTATTAGTTCAACCTTATTAACAGTGAAAAGATATAAATTAAAAAGGTATTTTAAGTACCACATTCTTCCCTCTTTCCCTTCCATCTTTCCATCCCTCCCTCTCTGATAGGTCATATGTTGGTGTTGATGAAGGTATTGGTTGGAGTGCACATTAGTCTATCTTTTGAAGAGTAATTTGAATTATTCCAACAAATTTAATAAACAAAAATTTTTAAAAAGAAAAAAAGAATAATTGGGCAACACCTATTAAAATATAAAAATGTAAACTCTGTGAGCATTGTCACACCTAGGATCCAGTGACACAAATAACAAAATGTCAGTAGTGTGTACAATATCAAAAATTTGGGGGTTGGGGTTGTAGTTCAGTGGCACAGAGCCTGCCTGGAAAGCACAAGGTCCTGAGTTCAATTCCTGCTACAGAAGAAAAAAAATTTTTTTTGAAATAGCTGGGCTTGGTGGCTCATGCCTGTAATCCAGGATTTAGAAGTTTGAAGCAGGAAGATCATGAATTCCAAACCAGCCTAGACTGTGTCTCTAGTTCAAGGCCAAAATGTACTATATTAGCAAGACCTTGTATCAAAAACAAACAAACAAACAAGCAAGCAAACTAAGAAACCAAGTAAATGACCAGAGATAGGACACCAAGACATTTGTCATTTATTCAATGATATCCTAAATAACCATTAAAAAACAACGGTGTAGGGGCCGGAGAGATGGCTCAGTAGAATAAGTGCTTCCCTGGCAAGCTCAAGGGCCTGAGTTCAATTCCCGGTTCCGCCAAAAAAAAAAACCAAAAAAAACCCAAAAAACAAAAAAAAACAAACAACGGTGTAGGGGAGAGAGCTCAGTGGCACCAGTACCTGCTGGGCAAGCACAAAAAGAGAAAACAAAAACAAAAGCACAATGGCATAGCTTCTTATGAAATGACTTTGGAAATCATTTATAACATGTTAAATTGAGAAAGTACATTATAAACTCATTTCTTTTCTTTATGTCTTTAGTACAGGGTCTGCAGGGTCTTACTACACAGATCTGACTCATAATGATCCTCCTATTTTCAGCCTCCTAAGTGCTGAGATTACAGGCACTTGCTGCCACGCCCAGTCTCAATCACTGTCCCTGGGGGTGGGGCCTACGATTTCATTTGTGTAGAAATTTTTCAATATGTATTTGTGCTTATATATGTATATAGTAATATTTTTTTATCTGCATAAATATAAACAAATCCAGAAGATAGACACCAACATGCCAACAGTGGCTTCCTCTGAAACAGAGGACTCGTTTCTTTCTTTGCTGAAGTTATCTACCCGGTGACTGCATACAGAGGGCTATTTGGGGCACTAAGGATACATCAATAAATAAAACAGGGCTGGCCAAATAGCTCAGCAGATTAAAGCCTGCAAGCAGGAGCAGGAGCCAGGGGTCCGATCCCCAAGCCTGCTGTGCTGGCTCCATCCCTGGGGCGCACTGAGACAGGTGACTGAGACTGGGCTTGGTGGCATGTGCTTGTAATCCCAGGTCTTGGGGGCTGTAAACAGATGGATCATTATGAGTCCGATCTAGTAGTGAGACCCTGAACACCCTGTAGACCCTTCCATAAATAAATAAATAAATAAATCAGACAAAATCTCTGTCCTTATGGAGCTTACCCAGTGCAGAGAGACAGACAGTGAAGGACAGATAGTGAAGAACAAACAGCTTTTCAGATGTGAATGTATTATAGAGGAAGACAAATCAGAAAAGGGAGCTGGACAAGCAGTTCATAATTTTTAAATAAGCTGGATTGAGCATGTAGAAGGTACATTTTACAACCTTATATACTTTTTTAAAAGGGGAAAGAGTAACAAGTGTTTTTCTTTTTTATGTGGATTTTTTTTATATACCATATAAACAGTGTAAAAAGAGAAGAAAAATTCTAGCAGTGGAATTTCTAACCTAGATTAGGGGAAAATTTGTCTCTCTTGTTGTCTTAAGTATTTCCCTTATTACTAAGACAAAATAACCCACATCCAAAATTTAAAAAGGAAAGGCTTATTTATTTTTTATCGTTTTGTTTTCTTTTCTTTCTTTTCTTTTGGATTTAGGCCCTTGCGCTTGCCAGACAAGCGCTTATTCTACTGAGCCATCTCCCTGGCCAGTAAAGACTTCTTTAGTTTACAGTTTGTGGAGGTTTTAGGCCATTGTCACCTGGCTCCAAAGAGGGGCAACTCTTCACAGCAGCAGAGGATACCAAGAGCAGCAAGAGAGGAGGAGGAGCAGAGAGGCAAACCTCTTTGTTCTGTCTATTGTATGCAGGATGCCCCCCAAGGGCAGGTGTAGCACTCACACCCTTAAACCTAGCACTGGATTAAAAAAAAAAAAAAGTATTTAGTACAGGGTCTACAGGGTCTCAGTACACAGGTCAGACTCATAGTCATCCTCCTGTTTTCAGCCTCCCAAGCACTGGGGTTACAAGCACACGCTACTATGCCCAGTCCCAATCACTGGCTCAGCGCACCCCTGGGGCAGGGCCAGCATGGCATGCCAGGGATCAAACCCTGGCCACTGCACTCTGCCTAAGCAGGCGCTTTAGTCCACTGAGTTATCTGGCCAGCCCTAGGATTGGATTTTGAATTAGTCACAGTCTCTAGATTCATTCACCTTCAAAAAACCCTAGGACTACATGAGGCTTTGGGGGAACATCTAGACACAAACCATGACATTTTGCCACTTGCCCCCCAAAAGACTCATACACATCCCTTTGTGCAAAAGGCATTTAGTCCATCTGGAAGAGTTGCCAAAGTCCTAACAGTTTTAGTGTTGCTGAAAAGTCCAAGTCCCAACTCTCCTCTGAGAAGTAAGTCAAACTCTTAGCTATGAGCCCCTGTACAAATAACAAGAAAGTTAAACACTTCCAACATTCAATGTCACAAGATAGATATTTTTATTCCAAAAGTTATAAACAAGGGATACAAAAGAATCCCAAAGCAAATCCTAATCCAGCAAGTCAAACATTGTAGTTGCACATGCCTCATCTGAGGCAAGCTGTGGCAAGATATGAACTCCCAGGGCTTGGGTGCCTCCACCTGCTGTCCCCTGCTGTCACTTCAACATTAGACTATTTTGAGGTTTCTTTTGCCAGACTGACTAGTCCACTGTCCTCCAAAAGGAGAATACAAGCCACTTCTTGTCCTTTACAGTCTCAGGTAAAGTCTCTGGACATGAGCAAAATGCAGACAAATTTTCTGCCAAGCTATAACGCGTATCATCTGGACTTTTGATTGTAGCTCCCATGGCTTTTCTATGGGGCTAGCTTTTTTCCCTCCTTGCAGTTTTCCTCAGAGAATCCATGTTCCTGGCTTCTCCAAATTTCTGGGGTCTCCACTGCACCTTTGGCTTCACACTCAAAGCTTCACAC